AGCTGAATTGTACTAGTAGTAAAAATCGCCCTGAATGAACATAGCCGCTTCCGTTTATGAGGGGGAAGTGGCTCAACCTACATATTTATCATAAAAAGATATATCCCATCTATCCGCATGGAATGCATGGAATCTGGATCCTAATTTACTTTTGATGTAGACAGATAGTCAATATCCCGTTGGATATCTTGAACGTACAGAAACATGTACTGAATATTGAGTTATGTAACGTATGCTCGAATGTGTATGGAGGACTCTGTGAGGGTCAGCGTAAGGAGACAGCCCTTTGTAAAACTCAGAGTTTGAATCTATGTACAAGACGTAAAGGAGAACGGAGTGAGCTCTTGAATTGATATGTACATGAATAAAATGTAATGTTGAATACCTGCAATCCAGTTACATAGGGCAACCTAAATATATATGCCTACTGTATCTAACCAGCGAAAGGCCTCTACCTGACTGGTATTTCCAATGATAGGCCTAAACATGTGTGACGAGACCAATCTCGCCACTGTGCATTGGAGGAGCCTGGTTGCTCGCCTGCTGCCTTTAGACTATGGCCTCATGTTGAAACGCTTGATTTTCCCCTGCAAAGACACGAAAGCCGGGTCATTCGGTACTTGCCCTATTTGAACAGTGATACCCCAGATAGCTATGCCATGGAGCCCATTCGTATAACGAAAGACTATGTGAAAGACTTTGGCTCCATGTCAATTGAACTGTATGCATGTGATCTGAGCCCCATTCAGTAATAATGTGTGCTCAGATCTAGGCTATCTGGAGATATGTTGAATGTATCTGTTCTATGCAATAGCTGCACAGTTATATATTTTTATGTATTTTATTGTCTTTTGCTACCATGTGTTCAATGGAGTTTTGCCTCTGTCCTTGTTAATAATAGGATTACTTCCCAATTATCTCCAGGATAGAGGACTCTGTGGAACTGGTTTGGGCTGGAAAAGCCATGCTTCAGTGGTCACAAAGGACTTCGACTTAACCACTGGACCAATTTGAATGATTTTTGAGTATATTTATATTTGAAGGACGCTGATTTCAAATATGTATTTTATTAATATTGCATGCATACTTTTAAAGTTATAAGAATTGTATAAAAACTGTACATTTTTTGCCTGTGCTAATTAAGTTAGTCTATTGTCTTGAGATAATTGTATCACAGGGGAGGATTTCTGCTGGGAGTGGTTTACTTTATTGTATGTGTTGTAATGTTTTTATTGGTTGTTCTGAAAAATCCTGTGGGCGGTCCTGTATGTGTTAAACCTGCATAAAATAAGGCCCTTTGGTGTCAAGTAAAACAGAGTTCTACTTCACCCTCAATTTGGAGTCCTGTCTCTTATTGGGGGAATCTGCTACAAGGGATTGCTATCCTCTGCATATTCCCTTGCTATAATCACTCCTAAGCTCTTTTAAGAGCTTGTTCCTGCTTCGCTCTCTGAAGGAGGTGCCTGCTGGAGTGCTTGGAGCCCTCAGGAAGCGCTAGGAGTATCCTTCAACGGAGGTACCCAGTCGGGGTGCCAGGTGATCCATTACAACATGTTACTGAACCAAAACTACTGTGTGTACCTAATATAGTTCAATACGTGATGTTCTAAGGAACTTACCAATACCTAATAGTACGAGCCACGTAACTTGCACACATTTAATTCTACAGGCTCCACATATTTACGTCCGATTTAATTAAATCTGCTCAATATAATTATACAACAGGGTAGAATTCCAATACAAGAAGCAGTTCTAATACTAAACCTTCGCCTCCCTACTAAAAGCCTGGTTAGTGGTACCTATATATGTGAAAAATATGTATGTATGTGGTTTGATAATTGGTTTATATAGCTGTGCTGGTACCTTATGTGCCATTCAAGGTCCTGCTGTGATGCCGGGTATAGTCCAAGAGCTAATAGAAGTAGAACTAGCCATGTCTCTGTGTGACGTATCAGACCTAGTAGGAGTGCAGAGCAGGGACAGGGCCCTCCACCTTCCAGTCGCAGAGATGTGTTAAACAGCACAAAGTAGTTGTGTTTACCATTACGACATACTGGCATTCTAGCTATTGCAAAGTGGCGAAACTATTAAACAAAGTGGTGATGGGTGAGGCCCTACTAGATGCCAAGTGGCTTGAGAGGCTCTATCTATGCGTTGGCGTGAGGGGATTAGGTGGCCACCGAAACATGTGGCAAGGTGTCGGCCTCTTGTTGACTTTTAAAGCAAAAGATAGAATGGGTGTGACAGATGAGGCCCTCTTTATGCCACCATGTGAGGCGACTAACTGTGTTGGGCCGATGGGTGTAATACCTCAGAGTATGAGGATGGATGTTGGTCTCATGGGACCACTAACGCAAGGCATAGAGGCCTGAGAAAGTATAAGCTATCGGGCTCCTGATGTCCTGCCAGCCAGTAATGAAACTAACTAAGGGAGGCAGGGTAAGGTATCGCATGACTATGTGTAATTTTACCTGTCTGAGAACGAGTAGTCAGAAATGCGGTATGACACAGAAGGTGGATTGGCACAGACCTACAGGGGCAATGAGATATAGTAGGAATTGTGGTATGTTATGTAAAAGTAGATATCCTGTTCTGCCTAACAGGATATGTAGCAATGTAACATTCAGCCATAAGTAGGAGGTTGTGTAGTAAATCGCAGATACCTAGCACCTAATGATATGATGATGTAACGTACATGAGCGAGATGTAAGGCCAGCTCGTGGATCCAACCGAATAATCTATAAAAGACCTACCTAATGAATATAAGGGGTATGATGAGTACTGTTGCCCTAAAATCCTGAGTACTATGTAACCTGTAATAAACATGATAATAGTAATGCCTTTGATACGAATATACTCTAGCCAGTGATCCCTAAGGAAGAAGAAACGGATACAAGTGGAGGCAGCAGTCCTAATTATTAGACCTAAAGATATAATGGAATATGTGAGGATTATGTGCGTGGCCCTGCCTGGGACCTCCTCAAGGGTAGTATCCGACTTAAGATAAAATGGTAGTGCTGTTAAGGGACATAAAACGTGATAAAATCAAGCGAGTATACTATACACTTGAGTATACACTTTAGGCAAGCAGTGAATGAACACTACAAAAGTGTATATACCTTTAAGAATTTTGAATTCGTTTTCCCGGTAAGGTATAAAACCGCCAAGCAACGGCTACAGCACCTATCTTGGAAAAGCCTCCAGAAGAAGGGCGAAACGCGTTGAAAAGGTGCTCAGGGTTCAGCTCGGCTGCATATCCTTCTCTATCAGGTTCCAGGAATAAGCCGGATCTACTCTTAGTGTTTCTACGTTGAAAAATCTTTGGACAGCCTTTGGAGACGCTGTCTCCTCTGGAGAACCGGACAATCCGTTGGGACTTCAGGAGAACGAGCAGCTACAAGAGCTTTTTGCGTGGTCCTTAGTGATAAGTAACACATTTTAATTTTGTAAGAGTTCCTATTTTGGGGGGGCGAATATCTTTTGTACTGGGGCAATAAATGTTACAGAGTTACACTATCTTTTTGTCTCTCTTTGCCTTTAGGAATTTCCAGTACACTTTCGGGTCCTCATTTGCTACTATAAGAATTTGGACTTTCCCTCAAAGGAACTTATATGTAAATTGAAAAGACTTTGGACTTTTTACAGACATTTATACTGTTTTTATTGCTACAGTTTTTTAAGATACATTTTATATGTGTGCACCCTTGTTACATTTCAAGGGGATTATCTTCTCAGCGCTGACAATATCGATTAGCATTTAAGCCCTATATTGACCCTGTAACTTTCAAAATGCCATAAAACCTGTACATGGGGGGTATTGTTATACTCGGGAGACTTCGCTGAACACAAATATGAGTGTTTAAAACAGTAAATCCTATCACGACGATTAAATCACCAGTAAACGTTTGTGTAAAATAATGCAAAAAACAAAAATGTACACTAAATTTGGAAAGCATTTGTAGCTAAGTGGCTACTACAAAAGACTGGACACAGCCCATTTTGAATACCCTGGGTTGTGTACTTTTTCAAATGGTATGTCATGGTGGGGTTAATTTTCATTTCTGGGCTGCCATACCATCTCAAATGCAACATACTCAATCTGGCAAATAGCAATTTACATACAATATACAAAGTGTGGAGAAACACTCAATATACCAACAACCTCAAATTAGGGTGCTATTCCTTGAAGGTACTCCCTCAAATACCAATACAATCAATATTCAATAACAAAGAATGCACACCATATGATACAATAGTATCTATCTATATTTATTAATTACAATATAAGTACAAACCATACATAAATAATATAACAGTGACTTCCTAGGCTATCAATCTCCAAAAATACATATTTACCACATTTCACAAGCCTATATGGGCAGAAACACAAGTCACAAATAGTCCCCCAACGTTTTGGCTCCTCCTGGTAGCCTTTATCAAGGGTAGTTATATCTTAACACCATCCTGGAACCCCTTATATACATATATATATATATATATATACAAAGTACTTACAGCTGATGGCCATCAGTAATAACGTGGAGAGCCGAGACCGGAAGTGACATCATCACTTCAGACCACGGTCCCATACACTAAACATTAATTTCACCACATACATTATACAATCTTAGTGCTGTTCCTCATAATGGTTCTTCCATATGTCCTAAAGATGTCATATTATTACACAAATAAATATTTGCACATACCTCGCTACTTGCATAAGTGACATGCGCATGCACAATACTAGTGTGTCCCGCCGCCATGTTATTCATTGGCATCACCCATACCGTCAGTAAGTTAAGCAAAATAAATAAATAACTGATGCCCCAATAAATGAACTAATAAATAAACCAAAACGATCTTCAAAAAAAGAAGAGAGAAAGAGAGGAAATGTTCACTTTGTCACGGACGGCCTCTCTCAATAGCTCGTTTCGTACGGAAGCCTCCGTGATCCAAAAAACCAAAACCCAAAAAATCTAAATCGCACAAAGAAGCCCGCGCATGCGCATAAAAGAAGGCAAATGTTAAACACACATAAAGTATAAACAAAAGTAGACCTAATATTAAAGGGACAATAACGGAAGAATAAATAAACCATATAATATGGCCCAATGTAAATTGTATAAGGGGTCCCATAGTATAGTATAGAAACAATTATTTCAAACAATATTAATAGCAATTTACAAAAACAGAAATTGGCAAATCTTATGTTTGACCCTGTAACTTTCCAAATCACCATAAAACCTGTACTTGAGGGGTCTCAAAGGCAACATAGGCCAAGTAAACCAATCTGCCAAATTTCAATGTGCAAACATAGAAATTGAGAAAGCCCTACATTTGACCCCTGTAAGTTTTCAAAAACCCATAAAACCTGTACATTGGGGGCACTGTTGTACTCAGGAGATGTTGCTAAACACATATTGTGGTGTTCTTTGTCAGTAACACATATCAGGAACTTAGAATCCATGTCTAAAGTACAATGTGAGAGAAAAATAACACACAAAAATGACTACCCAAACGTTTGACGAAGACTGGTGGTAGAATTAGTGCATGGAAAGTGTTAAAATACCACCATCTGAAATACCCTAGGGGTAAAAATATATGGTTTGATGAGGGTAAATTACATTGGCTGGCTTTAAAAATATTCCAAATAGGACATGGGTGCATAATGACCAGCTGTGTGTCACATTCTGTTCCTAGCTGCAGATCATTCTGGCTATGGCTTCTGGTATCCAGTACTCATTTTACAATTCTTGTTTAGTTTTTCTTGGTTTTTCTGGTTTTCTATTCTATGTCTGGTTTTCTTTATGCTGGGTTTTCTGGGTTCCTTCCTGTATTCCGTTCCTGGGATTCCCAGTCTCTTGGATTCCTTTAAATGTTTGTTTTATGTTGCCACACCCGTTCCTTTTCCATAATTAATTTTGTTTCAGTTTGTCCCTGCAGGCAGTTGCTCAAGTTCTCTGCCTTTTCTTGCAGGTAAGGGCTGTATGTACTTTATTATGGTTTATTTAGCAGACATTAGGCAGAGTATGACCTGCCAAATAATGGGGTACATTGACGTTGTGGAAGGCTTATGCAATGTATGATCATATAATGTAACTAAATCCCCATGGTTTTTCACATATAGTACTTAATTATGTCTCCTCTTGTTTTGCCTTGTATCTCTTGTCTTGTATTCCCAGTTCATGTACAGTCCTGTCCTGCCCTATTCTTGTTTTCCTCATGTCTTGTATACATGTTCTGGGTTCTGCTTTCTGTCCTACTACTAGTTCTGTCTTGTTTTCATGTTTGGTGTCTGTTCTAGTCTTGCCTTGTTTCAGTACTGGATACATTCATGCTGCAGAGCCTCCCTATTCAGCTCCTGGGAGGTCTGCTTATTTCCATGCTCCTAGTTCCTGGAATCCGCTGAAGCTGCATCAGGGTCCTGGTATGTGGTTGCACAAAAGCTGGTGCTCAACAACAGGGGGCGTGCGGCTACCCTGCACCAGACTCTGCTAATCCACTTCCACACCGTGACTCCTACTTTCAACTTCAGGCATACTGGGTCTCCGGACCGCCACCGTGACACTGTGAAAATTCCAAATAGGAAAACTGGAATGCGCACCCTCTAAATAAGGTCTTTTAGCCCCCCCCCCGAGAACCCAACACACCTATACATTGGTGGTATTACTGTACTCAGGAGATGTTGCTGAACACATATTGGGGTGTTTTTTGGCAGTAACCCTTAAAGTTCTCAGTAAATGTATTCTTAAATTGTTATATGAAAAAAATGTGTGTTATAGAAACCACCAATTATTTTATATTTTTTAAATTTGGCATAGATTGGTGGTAAAATGGTTGCATGAAAAGAGTCAAAATACCCCACATTTATTACCTTAGGTTGTCTTCTTTTAAAAACTATATAAATGTGAAGGGTTATTTAGGGATTCCTGACAGATATCAGTGTTACTAAAAAATGGTTTGGAAATAGCACAAGTGCTACTTGTACTTATTCCCCTAAGAACATGTTAATATTGGGTATTTCTAAACTCAGGACACAATTTAGAAACTATTTAGTTTTTGGCGGTTGTAGATGCTTAACAGATTTTGGGGGTCAAAGTTAGAAAAAGTGTGTTTCTACATTTTTTTCATCATATTTTATAATTTGTTATAGTAAATTATATGATATGATGAAAATAATGTTATCTTTAGAAAGACCATTTAATGGCAAGAAAAACGGTATAGAATATGTGTGGGTACAGTAAATGAGTAAGAGGAAAATTACAACTAAACACAAACACCGCAGAAATGTAAAAACAGCCCTGGTCCCAAACGGTAAGATAATTGAAAAGCGGTTTGGTCTAAGGGGGTTAAAGAAAGAAGTTGTGCAACATAATGACTTAATATGAGTGAAGTTGTTATGGTGCCTGGAGGTTCTCTGCACCATCTTATCATTTGAGGTTCATTCATTTTTAAATGGTTTAACCCCAAAGTACTGTTTATGCTTCCTATCCTCTTGCCCCATCTACCTCCTCCTCTGGTCCCAGCTTTAATGAGGAACCCTTTCCCTTGGGCACAGGTGATAGGCTGAGAGAGTTTACTAACACTCTTAGCCTATCACTGATCTCCTGTTGAGAAAAATGTTTCAGAAACATATGTTCAGTGACCAGGATCTCCATAACGACTTAATTGAGATTATTTAATTATGGCGGCCAGAGTGTTCCTTTAAAGTATATTATATAAATTGTGGACGAATCTAGATT